CCCAGAGCCCCTGCACCCATGCAGGACCCCACCAACCCCCTCAGCAGTGTGTGGAAGGAGTGACAGCGCAGAAGTCCCACACGCCAGCAGCCCCCCACGCTGGCAGCCCCAGCTGCCCCGCCCTGCCAGAAATAACCTCCCTGGGTGGCCGGGCAGCACGCACCGCGGGGACAGCCGGACCGGGCCGGGCACCATGCGTGCCAAGTACAGCAGGCATGCTGGAGCGTGCCGGGGCAGGGGAGCAGGCGCAGACCCCTCCCCGGGGATGGCAGCCCGGTGCAGGGGACGTGGCCGGGAACATGCATGTGGCCCCTGTGCCGGGACAGGGCATGGCCCCCTCTGCAGCTGGGCCGGGAGCAGCCCTGCACCGTGCAGCCCCACGGCATGGCGAGTCACCGCAGCCCCGCCAGTGGCACACACACACCGGGGCTCGGCAAGAACCAGCGAGAAGCTGGTACGAGGAGAAGGTAGGCTGCCCCTGGGACACAGCCCCACAGCAGAGGAGCTCCCACGGCAGGAGGGAAACGAAAGCGGCCATTAAAGAAAACACAAACCGCAAGAGGCAGAAAGAAGGAAGTCGACAGCGGCAGGGCCGGAGCAGGGACAGCCGAAAGCCGACACAGGCAGGGCAGGGCCCCAGCACCAGCGCCTTCTCAAAGCACATTAACAAGGGGGATGAAGCCCACGGGCAGCCGAGCACCACAGTGCCGGCGGCAGGAGGCAGGCGCACGCCCCTCCTGCGGTTCAGACATATTTATACCACAGCACAACCGGCGTCCCGTTCCAGCGCGGGTGAGGTCTGACTGCAGTTGCTAAAGTTAGACCTTGCTGAAGGCCAGGGCGCCGGGGCAAGCCCCCATGCAGACCGGCCTCGGGCCAGGGCAGCACCCAGCACATCAGCACCGCGGCTCATGCTCCACGCCAGGCTGCGGTCAGGCTGCCTCGCATGGTGTCACCGTACGAGCCCCTAGCAGGGGCTGGCAAAGTGGGACGGGGGACGAGCCGGAACAGAGCAAAGCGATCACCAAGGTGGGGATAGGAAGGCAAAGCCCAGCGGCACCCGCAGGACGTCACACACTGGGGGACAGCCACAGCCATGCAGCAGGTGTGAGGGTGGGCAGCCCCGCGGCTGGGCTGGCAAGGGACCCGTCTGCCACGCGACAGCCCCGAGAGCCGGGACTTGCCAGTTCTGTCATAGAATCATAAAGGTTGGAAGAGACCTCTAAGATCATCAAGTCCAACCATCAACCCAACACCACCATGCCCACTAAACCATGTCCCTCAGCGCCTCATCTACACGTCTTTTAAATACCTCCAGGGATGGGGACTCAACCACTTCCCTGAGCAGCCTGTTCCAATGTTTAACCACTCCTTCAGTAAAGAAATTTGTCCTGTCCTGGCACCTGCTCCCTCCTCACCCCAGCCTCAGCTCCCCACCACACACGGAGCAGACCCGGCCGCCAGCCAAGGGGCACGGCACAGTGCCACTGAGACCACCCGCACACCTGGAGCCCGTCCTTCACCTGCCAGCATCAGTCTCCCGGGCCGGCCTGTGGTGAGGCGTCCCGGCTGCAGGAGAGCACCCTCCCGCCAGGAGGAGGCAGGTCCTGCCCGCAGGCAGCTCTTCTGATGGGCAGCAGATGTCCAGTGGCTGGGGACAGAGGGAGGCAGCCAGGATGCCACTGCAGCAAGGGCAGGGGTGCCGGGGGCACAGCCACCCACCTCAGCCCCTGACCGGCGCACCGGAGACCGAGCAGAGAGCCCTGCCCTTGCCAAGGCCCGGCAAGGGCCGCGCACCCGAGGAGCTGCCCGGCACAGAGCCCGCTGCCAGGGCCTGCTCCCCGATCCCCGCAGGAATGGGGGACAAAGTCCAGAGCAGGCAGAGAGGGACGAGGGGCTCCCAGAGGCTCCTGGGAGCAGTGGGCAGCCCCGGGCAGAGGGGTGGCAGCTGCTCCCGGGGGAGGTGTTTTGGTCCACCTCTGCGGCCGGGGGGCACCGGTCCCCTCCTCTGCACCTCAGGAGGCAGGGGCACGGCGCAGTGCTCACCCTGCTCACTGCAGGGCAACCGCAGGTGTATGGTGGGGAGCTGCTGCTGCTCCCGGCGAGGCCGAAGGCTGCTCCACAGCCAGCTGCCTGCACCCGCACCTGCTGCCAGGCCAGAGGCACCAGGCCGGCAGCTCGGCCCCGTCTCGCTGCCGGCCGGAGGCATCCCACCCAGAACCACTCATCCCAGGGCAGGGGCCGGCAACAGCAGCGACCAGGAGCCTGAGAGCCGGGCGATTCTGTGGGGTTGGCGCCGGGGAGGACGGGCAGGATGGCAAGTCCGTCCAGCCACGATGGGGCCCCGCAGCCCCCTCCTGTGCAGAGACACCCACCAGGTTGGGACGACCCCGGTGCCAGGCGGACATCACACCCTCGGTGCCCAGGGCTGCCGGACCCCCCCCAGCCGGGGCCGGGCACCCCCAGTGCCGTGGGAGGTGCTGCCCA